AGTTAACTTAATGCTCATATCATATTTTACTATTGTTATTTACGTGTAATTTATTACTAAATCAATGTTTATCACCATGACACACGTGGTGCTAAAATTTATGAAAAAAAAACAATTCAATGCATTTAGAATCATTAGTTCTGTCTGTTATCATTTCGTCGATAAGTAGAATTATACCTACAAATGTTTCTTCTTATTTACGTAAATATAGATATTCAAGTTCTTTGACAATTATTATTTTGGTATCATTACAGTAATACAGTTATTCAATGTGGTAAAACTGCAACTCACGAAAATGTCATGAGCGTGGAATGGCTATTGCGACTTGCGGACAAAGACACAGTACACTTTGGGAAATTCAGGCAGTTTTCACTATCCTGTATGAACCAAGGAAAGGTTGATTGTTCTTATCAGAGCGCACCTCATTCTTTAACCGATGTACGAAAATCTTGTCGTGTTCATTGGTGCAATTTATGCTACAATAGTTCGAAGGACAACGTTAAAACGTATGGTATAGGTACATCCTTACAACTGACGAATTCCAGATCTACAGTTTGGTACGATTCACACATGGGTATTTGAAGAAAACGTTTGTACATGTCAGTTTGGCGGATATTGTGAGACCTCTCCCAAGATAGGTTTTTTACCGAATTCATTATGTGTTTTAAGTAAATAAAGTATGAGTATGAGCTATTCTGTTGTCAGCTACCAAAAAAAATGTTATTATAATTGGTTAGGTTAAATCAAGTTATCATAAAAACATAACTTGAATGTTTTTTTTTTATAATATCTACTTATTTACAAACGCTTTTAAAATGATGACGCACGTATACCTTTAGATGACGGTGGACACAGCAACTGCAAGAGAGTGAGAAACCGGTTCTAAAGCATAAAACATGTTCTTATGTAGAGTGTTACTAACGTCAATACACAATTTGTTGTAATCATTAAGACTATAGGTAGTTGCGGTATGATATGATGGCCGGTTTGACACATTGTAATAGTGACGCGAAAAGTCAATCTGTTATCGAAAGAATACTATCTAAACAAACACGAGTCACATCTAGGTATAAAAAATGTTTTTTTTTTACTAATATTGTAAAAAGTTGCTGATTACAAAGATTAAATTCATTGAATAAAACGAAAACATACATTTTTACCTACGCTCAGCGATCCTATATACGATTATGTAAAGGTACAAGTCCGAACTGAACCGCAGACCATAAGCCGCAGCTGTAGACTGCAGGCGACACTACTAGTTTCTATGAATCACTATGCACAATGCATACAATGCACGGTCAGCCACAGGCGCTAGCCGCAGTGTCGCCTGCCTGCAGCCCATTGCAGATAATTTTCAATGTTTTTACATTTTGAATTTCGAACAACACAAATGCCGAGTTATGTGGTGAATAAGTACACTATAATTATATTATTATTTTTATGTTATAACATTTCTGAATGATAATAACAATAAAATATTTATTTAAATTAATTTACTTAATCTTTTAAAGATTCTGTCAACGGGCTGCACCGGTGTTTTGATTTAAAAATGATATTAAACATTTAATTGTTTTAAACTTGATGGACATTGATGGACTCACGTATGTGTGCCTAGGCTCCGCCTCTGCCCACACTTACACATTCGTCAATCATTGCCTCTTTTGCTAGCCGCTGCAGTAATGTACTATTAAAGTCAGCTGTAACAAACACTTAATATCTATATAGATATTAGACAGTGCTAGTGCGTGCGTTTTAGAAAATGCCAAGTCTTTAACCTACTGAGAGAGCGTGAATAGCTATGTAACCTCCAGTAATAAGACTCTTTACCGCAACCATCTCCTCAGCTAATATTACGTATTAATTTTTATGATTCCCATATTTTGGAAAAGAGTTATGTAACAAATGTGACATGCACAGCTTAACTAAGTATACAATTTTTAACTTTTATGCGAATCACAAAGGTGACGCATATTTGATTACCTTAAACTAATAAAATATTCGTGTTATTATTGTACATTTCTGTATTTTGGTTGAGTAGTAAGCAGTAGTATATTAATAATAATATAATTACCAAAGGCTAAACTTTGTTTATAACAAGGCTTTTGGTTATTATTTATAATTATATAATTCGCTTTAACTAACGCTACATGCGTTCTCTAATATTACTGAATAATGACGTTAACTTTGCAAAGAAATGTTGCTATTAGTATGAGTTAGTTTAAGAAACTTCCGACGGATAAAGTAAGTAGGAAATCAATGCATATAATTATATGCTACAACAACAAAACACATTCCTCAACAGGGGGTCGTAGTCCTAGAAATAATCGTGATATATTTATGTGCTCGTTGGCGTAGCTACGATCAATGGTGCTTGCTCTACATCACACTAATATTATAAAGATGAAAGTTTGAGAGTGTGGGAGTGTGTATGTTTTTTACTTCTTCAAGTCTAAAAGGCTGGAGTGATTTAAATAAAATTTGCTATGGAGTTAGCTGACACCCTGAATTAACACATAGGCTACGTTTTACTGCGGGAAAATATCACTGATAAACCACGGATAACACCGCGGGGCACAGCTATTATAAAATAAAGATAAGAAAATGAAAAAAAGAAGTTATTTATTTACCAGTGTTTGTTGTTATAAACTTTGGTTTTATATCTAGACTAGCGGCCCGCTCTCGCATCGCTTCGGTTTAGAGCTGAAGTGTAGACTACAGTTTTTGTTCTCAGGCTTGTATTATACACAATGACATTCATCTATGATTCTTCTTATACCTGCAAGCACAGTCTTAGCCTGATCGGTTTGAAATTGACAAAGTTTCATACAAACTTTCATTCCCTATTTTATCCCCTTGGGGATAGAATTGATCAAAATCCTTTCTTAGCGAAGCCTACGTCATAACATCTACCTGCATGCCAAATTTCAGCCCGATCCGTCCAGTGGTTTGGGCTGTGCGTTGATAGATCTCTATGTCAGTCAGTCACCTTTGAGTTTTATATATATAGATATAGATTTATAAACTAGAACACATTTAATCGGTTATAAAAATGGGGAAAAAACTTATTTCATAACCACTTAGGAAAGTGGGTAAAATTTCTTGTTTCATACATGGCTACGAAAAACGGTTAAGAAAATGGACCAACGGCAAAAATCATGCCAAAATCAGACAGTTGCTGTAGTCATTTATACATCAATAAGAATGGGACCTACTTGTGCCATACTTACGAATTTGTAATGTACCTACAATATTTTTGAAAATTAATCTGAACCATGAAATTTTAATGTATCGTTCAGAATATTTTATCCCTTATTATCTATTAAAATACTTTAATTTAAAGTATTGTCCTAATATTTAAAAAGAAACAGAGTATTCAGTTTTCATCTAAGAAGAAATCCTTAAGTTTACGGTCATGCATGATTGATAATCGTTGACGACAGTTCAGCTGCTCTTTATAGCAACAATTTACCGGTAAATTCATTTTTAGATATCTAAAGGTCATTAGAATTTTGTTGCATAAGGAAAACCTAGTTACACTAAGTTCTCGAACTTTTAATATGAGCCATCAACCAGGGTGTCATGGTCATTCCTATTATTATCTTTGTTATTGTTAAGCTGTTAATAATGGTGAGGTACAAATGAAAGATGTTTAATTCGTGCTATATTGTTATTTGTTTCCTTCAGTAATTGCATTTGTGCGACTGTTGTTTTTTCATCTGTTCTAAGTAACAAACTTAACTCTAACATTTTGTAAATAAACTGCCTACGGAGCTCCTTTTAAGTAGCGTTAATAACAAATTGTTTGTAAAGTTTTCCATTGATATTTATTCTTTTTTTTTAAATATTAGTTTTCATAGTAATTTATCATGAAACTAAATAGTAGTTGTTTCTTCATTATCCTCAGCAATTATTTTTGATGAACTTTTGTTTCTTCTATCAATTAATTCATTTACCTAATAGGTAGGTATAATGATGTGAGGTTTTGTTTGTATATGATCTGTAATTAATTGTTTTTGAGCATGCTATTGATGCATGATCAGCGTGGTCTTTCCGTTGTCCGTTAATCTAACCATGTGATATATTCATTTGATAAAGTGAAATGTTATCTCAACGAATTATGCAGGTACAGTCAGCCACACATCACGTTACCACAAAATGTACATTTTCCTCCACCGATCAAGTGTAAATTATAAATAAAGAGGAGCTCGATGGTGGTGAGCGCATTCGGCTGCGATCGTTGAAGTTAATCAACTTTCGCAGTGGTCGGTCATTGGATGGGTGACCAAAATTTTACTATCTCGAGCTCCTCCGTGCTTCGGAAGGCACGTTGAGCAGTTGGTCCCGGCTACATCTGCGGTCGTTAGCACCCATCAATCCGCATTCGGCCCGCGTGGTGGGTCATGGCCCAACCTCTCTATTCCATCCATAGGGATGGCCTGTACCCCAGCAGTGGGGGCATGAATAAGCTGATGATGATAAATTAAACGAGGTAAAACTAAAAAACAGCTGGTTAAATTTGACAGTTTTGGGTAAGCTGTAGCTGTACCTACTTACATACTTTGTTGTGACACTTGGTGAATTTTGTATAAAAAACATGAATTTCCTTAGCTTCTAAAATGGTTAGACACTTTTAGGTTTCAATATGTATTATTGGATTGATGTAATTGCAAAAATACATTAAAACTCCTTTTTTTAAAAGAGAAGAGGATGTAGGATTGTCCTTGTAATAACATTATTACAATGTTATAGAATTCATGTCAATATTGAGATGTAAGAAATATACAAAAAGAATAGTCATATCACAATTCAAATCTCATGGAGTGCGATCAAACAAGGCAATAACTATTAAATCCGGCAGTAGCGCAACAAAAAACGTCGGCGAGGCGAACGCAAACCAAACAATTCCATGGTTTTAAATTCAATTTACTACAGTTTGTGCATTGCGAATTGGACGAAACCGCGCCTCTCACACAGCACAGCACTGACGTTGCGAAACTAACCTTCGGTTCCTTGCAGGCATTCCAGCTCGACGGTGTAGTCCCAGAGGTCCAACGAGTTCAATCCGTTCAGCTCCCAAGAGTTGAACGAGTCACACTGTTCTTGCTCCTCCCCCATTTTAGAGGCACTAAAGTCCAAAGAGGTCACTGACGACGGGGAAGCCGCCGTTTTCTAAGTGTCCATGATTGGTGTCATTGTTTTTTTCTGTGTTGCGGGTTGCGAATAAAACGCGCGCGTTGTCGCCTCTGCGGCGGTGTCGAACGGACTGACTGCGGCTGTGGCTGCGATGTCGGTGCTTCGAACCGAGCGGCAATTACAGCGCCATCGGCCGTCCACAACACTCTCATTTCAATCTCATTTCTTTCGATTACACACCGATAGCAAATGCAATTAACGAATGTTATCGCACTACAGACAAGTGTAACTCGAATAATTCCACAGAAAAAATTCTGGTAAGCAATCTCCGGAGAAAGCGTTTTGGCCGGTTCGCCCGCAGCAATCAATCAAATGTTCGGTATGGAAATTTGCGATGCCAAACACGATGTGCAAAGAAAGTGGCCTTATCAAAACGTTACCTAGTTATTTCCTTTGTTTACCAACTTGTTTCTATTGCTAATTTCTATTTGTTAATAAAGATTCAAGACAGGGAGTCGATAACAACTTTTTCTTCAGTAAATTTAACATTAATGTTATCCGAAAATTTGTTGATGTTATTTTACGAACACCTAGTAAATGTATAACTATTACGTTTTTCCATAGTATTCTAAATTTAATTATTGTATTATTTATAAACAAGCTTGAACCAGCTGTGTAGCTTCAACGTTATGTTACGTTACTATTACTCAAATACATAACATCGGTTATTTGATCCGTCAGTACAGCATGCAGATCTATGCAGCAGTAGACATAAAGTTTTAGACTTCATGAGAATTTTAAGATTTCAAAGCATTGGTCTGATCATTATGTTGTATAACAGTGAAAGTCCTATTGAATTCCATTGTACTTATAGTTTTCGTAATACCTATTGGCTGATTCTAGACTTTTACTTAGAAATAAAAATGAAAGATATGCGAAGAAAACAGAAATAGAAAAAAAATATAAATATGGGAAAATTTCAAGATTTAGAAAAAAATAAATAAAAAGAATGACTTATCAATCCGATATTTATGTTGTCTACGATTTCGTTCGCATGGATTTTGAAATACTGTTACCGTCTGTTGCGCCGCGTATTAGGCCAGGGACTTATTTAAGGAGGGTCTTTTCGAAAGAGTTTATTTACACAAAAATGTTTATTCCAGAAATATCAGAAATCTGATTATTAAAAAAGCGAACTTTAAGACTTGTTGGTCTACTTAGTAGACCATCTACTGGAAGATGTTAGAACTTTAATACCCACGAGATATATATTCAGATTTTTTTTTAATTCCAACCAGTCTAACAATTTGTAGTTATGTAGTCGTTAATGTCTCTTTTATTAATACTATTTTTAGCTATGAATGGCGTTTTATTTGTAAGTCTGTGTTGGATGATCGGTTCACGTTAGGTACGGTGCGCTTGCTTGATAGACCGAGACGGTTCTCGTCTCAATACCAATTCAACCCAATATGGCACCAATCTGATTTGTCAAGCATGACCAAGTCAAAACATTATGTAAAATATTCAGCAGGAAACAATAAAATAAATGTTTAAAATTAATCTAATTCAGTAACTGATAACTAAGTAGGTGATTATTTTCTAGTTTTTCTTTCGATTTAAACATCTAGCAATTAAATGGTAAAAAAAAAAAAAAAATTTAACTAAGTATATGTTTTTATTTGAAGGATGATTGATGATACAAAGATTAAAAAAAATGAAGTTTATTTTTTAACCCAGAAAGATGCTTTAACTCAAGCCATTTGGATCTAAACAGAACTTTGCAGTGGAAATAATGAAACTTCTTGCTTCATTTGTAGAAACTTATATTAAAATACGAAAACAAAAAAATATTTTAAAGAAAAAAGTTATTTTAAAATTCCTATTCAACGAAACCTCACACGATGGGGTAGACGATAAAAAAAACATCCCCAGGTTACATGTAGGGGAGCAACCCTAAAAAAATGTTTATTTTTTTTAATTTTTTCTTCAATTGCTGGTGTGATTGACTCTACAAAATAACAGCTCTCTAGTGCTAACATAGCCTTCAAGCAAAACTGGGACGGACAGACAGACATGACGAAACTATAAGGATTCCTTGTCAGGACTTCGGAACCCTAAAAACGAAACCACTTAGCTATTATAAAAATAAACGCGTGACAGTAACTTTGGGAATTGAGTTTTTTATAAATACATTTTCTAATCCGGACAGATTGTAATTTTATTTACTCGTATATCCATTCTTTCAAAGGTAGGTATATAACCAAACAGTTATACTACGAAAATAGTTTTTGTAACTCTATTAAGTAAGTTTATGTACCTAATTGCAGTATTCATAATGGTTTGATGGGCATGATGGTCATGCCGGCTACCGACGAGCCGAATTATGCCAATGACAAGAGATTTTTCATCATTTAAAATTAGAATCGCCAAAAAACATGGTTATCATCATGAAACTTCCAATTTTTTCTTCTAAATGAAGTTAATGAGCAGCATATTAATCCACAACAAGTGAACAGGAACAGACCGATGTGATAACTAAGTATCATAGATAAAATTTATGTTTTAAGTGCACAAGAGTGTTATCAGTTAATTTTAACTATCGTCATGACCTTTTTACGGAGTGTAGATAAACGAACTTAAATTCTAAATGTTGAGTAGATTAATATCAAGCTACATTTCTAGTGTAAGTAGGTATACTTGGCAAAAACATTTACAAGTTGTACCATCCACATATAATTATTCCCTGACGCCATTTTTTGAAGCTGCTATAATTTTTTCAGTCTAGTTGTGAAGAAACAGAGTAAAATAAGGTAAAAAAAAAGCAAGCCGCTCTAGTTATTCTCACCTTGTCGGCTTAAAACCAATGCCCTAGCTTAGAAAATTTATTATTATATTTGTTTCTTAGGTTTTCACACACAACACTCATTAAGTAAAACAAACTTTTAACGGTTTAGATGTACTGAATTAATTTATTTATTGACGTTTCGCATCCTTTGCAGGAACGCGTCGTCAGAATAATGATTTAATATAAAATTGTTATTTAAAGGTAATGTTATTAAAGGTTAAGGTTATCGCGACTTAAGATCGGAAACGCGTAGAAAATCCGTTAAGCCCAACATCTCCTATTAATTTTCTTCGGAAAATGTACGAGCCTCACCATGGGGACAGATTGGCTCATTACTTAGAAATGGACATTGAAAACTCTCGCAATTATCTTTTTTTTATTAGTAACTAATAAATGAAGGAAGGTAAGGAAGGAATTTTAAGAATTTAACTGTTAGCACTATTGTTTATTTCAGGCTTACATTGAGAAATAGTCAAAGATAATTTCTGGAAATAGTACTTACTGTGTTCTAGTTGCAGTGTTTTACATCACAGTAGGAGACGTACCAGGGCCAGACTAATGTTACTACCGTTACATAAGGCACTTTCAACATATTTTGCTCAATGCATATATCAGTGTCTGTTAAAAAAAATTGCTCATTTCGAAATTAGTACAATTGCCGCTTATAATGTGACAATACAAATATCTTATTTTAGAAGCGAAGTTTTTTTTTGTTTTGTTCGTACGTTCAGATTTGACACTTCGGGCATTATAATTTTGACAAATCGTTTCAGAAAAGTGGTTGTTGCATAGTTGTGTGATATCGCTCCAATGTTGATCTTTGACCTTTGCTTACAAAGACAAGCAGTGGGCATCTATGTTACTATGTGAATACTTATATAATATAATTAACTAGCGACTGCGCGCTACTTCGTTCGCGTTAACTTTATTATTTTTCTTTGAGAACCGCACAGGAACCTAAAAAATATCCCGGATAAAAAGTCGAAGAGAAGACAAAAAGATAAACTATGTCTCAAACCAGGTTTATAAACTATATGTGTGCCAAATTTCATCCAAGTCTGTGCAGATTTTTTTGCCTGATTGAGTTACAAACAAAAAAACTCAATTTTATAATAATATGTATATAATATGTTAGTTTAGGATTAGGATTGATTAATGACCATTCAAGAACTATTTTGAGTTATGTGAACGACAAATAAAAACAATGTTATCTTTTATCTTAAGCATTATCTAATTAAGCATAATATATTTAAAAGTAAGACATAAAGTATTACTAATATTGATGAATGTAAAAACTTTAAGTAGGTACCTACATTGTGATAAATAACGTAATATATAGAAAAGATTTACAAACACAGACAGTAAAATGAGATTTTCCATTCCATTCCATCGTTTTACGAGAATTGCAGAATTTTCTGCTGCAATTAAAGCGGAAATACGTTTCTTATCCGTTTCTTATTCTTATCCTACAGGCACCGTGGCGAGAAGATAAAAATGTGGATATATTGGAACAACATTTATATTAATTTGCTAAATTCTACATTTATAAAATCATTTTTCTAATAATCATCATTTTGGTTTTGAAGCAGGAGCATGATATTTTTACATTTTGTAGATGTAGTATGATTATTCTTACACATATCAATTTATTGACGAGGAAATAAATTATTTATGTAATATATTTGATTTAATCATTTTTCTTTTTATTAATTAATTAATTATTTCGGATAAAAAGAATGTGAAACGACAAGAATAATGCAAAAATATCGATCACGCTTTATACTCCGTCCGTTTAGAAGAGTGTCTTTATTATGATTGGTATACATGAAAATATAGAAAAAAGTAAGTAGGTACTTATGAGAAAGTTAAAATTGTCCAATATTACTTTGGTAATACAAGAGCAGGAAGAGCGAAGTTGCGGCTGCTGCAAATGTCAGTCCATCGCGTCTGCGCGCGCGCACTGCCGCAATTTATTGAAAGTCAAATCAATTTGTTTTAGAAAGTAGATTACTGTGGCAAATTCGCCTTTGCGAATTCACCCAGAGAAATTCGGCTAACATTTCATAATGCACATGGGAGACTTTGTCGCGTGGTAATTTTTTTGTAGTTACTTACTTATATGTAAACATTAAAATTGCTTACTGGAGTAGAAAGTTCGGTGAGGTCGAAGTAACATTAACTTTCTATCACAATTATGCCGGAAAAATACACTTAACACCACAATATATAAATAGTAGAAACTCATGAATGAAAGAGAGTGCTTTTGTGTTAATTCAAGATCCGAAATAGTTTGGATATATTATATACCTACCTACCTACCATACCTGTTCATAAAAAGATTGTTTTAAGGGAGGTAGGGCACAGCGAATTTTCTGTTCGTATTGGAGTGCCCGTGTGGGGAAGCAACACCCATCTTACAGACAACCACAGTAAAATAAAACTACCTTTTGGTGGTGTTTTGTTTCTGCTGGTGAGTAGAGATCTAGGGCTCCTCGGGGTAAGGGGATTTGGTTCAGGCTGGCAAGCTGAGGATAGTTGGAGCACACTTTTTGCCGCATCATCTACCTTTGCGACTAGTCACCACTTACATTTAATATCAGGTGAAGTGGGGTAATTTGTTGCGCCTCGTATGAAAAAATGGTAAATGGTTACGGAGATAACGTCACAGTAGCATAGTACAGTACCTTTGTATCCTATGAAGTATAGAAAGCACTGGTAGAGAACGAAAAACTTGAGGGGTAGAGTGGGCAATATAACTCTACCACTTGGTTTCCTCAACTCCAGCTTTAAATATTCTTCTTTACGACACGCTCTACCACTATCCGATGTAGGTACTTACTGCTATATAATTATATAGTAAAATCCATGCCATATAGAGTAAAACTCGTCCAGACTTGCGTGATTTATAAACTTTATATATTCATGTGTGACAGGGAAACTAAACAAAAGCCTACATTCACTCTCCAATTATGTATCTGAAGTTGAGATATATTCGTTCATTACTTCATTCATTCCTGTACTCACTTGCCCTAAATGACTCTATTCACAGGGAGAATGGAGGACGAGCGTAGACATGAAGTTATACAGAACTTTGAACTTTAGTTCATAGGAATTAAGACTGAATTGTTTGAAAATCTTCATTAATTAATGATACTAGCTGGAGTTTAATGAACGCTAATAAAGCAATAACAAGCGTGTCCTCTTTGTTAGATAAACTTACATAGTTAAATAAATAATACGTATCCTATTCACACACAGCTAGGGTTTCCATTTAGGAATTTCACTAATTTAGGAATTCCTGACAAAAATTCCTAACATTTCAAAAACAGTCCGGACCATTCCTCACATAGTTACAATGGTCTGGTATTTAAATCAATATGTACTTTTATTAGTTATAATTTTACGACACGCTCTACCACTATCCGACTACATTTTTTTTAGGTTTTGTAGCTCGTCAGTAATCGTCTTTGTTTCAAGTTTTTTACCTTTAATTATTCAGAATTATTTATTATACACAAACAGACACATTCCACTGCAGTCGAGGTCAGCTTCAATAGTGGATAAACTTGCACTCGGATATCGTTATTTTTGCAAAGTAATTAAAATGTTATCAATGTCAAATTATATCTATTGATGTAGTCTCGACTACAAAATGTGTACCTAGGTATCTGTATTTATGAAAATATGAGTTTCAATATTTAAAAAACATTAACAAAACGAGCAAGTTAGTAGGTACAGTACAATGTAGAGACAAAGTAAAACATGATTGTCACGTGGATCAGAGAGACTGTAAATCGCGTGGAGTTTTTCCAGGGTTCTTAACCATGTTAATTTGGC